TTACTTCAAAATTAACAAAACAATACACTAAAAATAACGTACAAGTAACCTACGAATAACATGGCATAACCTAAAAATACCCTAGAAATAACCTGCAAATAACTTAAAAATAACCTACGCATTACTTCAAAATTAACAAAACAATACACTAAAAATAACCCAGGAATAACCTGAGAATAAACTAAAAATAACCCACGAGTTAACTTTAAAATAACCCAATAATAACCTACGAATAACCTACGAATAACCTGAAAATAATATAACCTACGAATAATTTAAAAAAAACACATGAATAACATGGAATAGCTGCCAATAAGTACTACGTTTCGGAGTAACTCAAGAATAACCCAATAATAATCAAACTAATAACCTAAAAATAAGTTCAGAATAAAACGATGACAATTACCAGGACAAGTTTTCCTCTTCAATGACCTCTTTCATCCTCTTCGCCTCCTTCTTCCTCTGCTTCTTTGACTTCATTGGCTGCTCAACCTCTGTCTTCTCAGCCTCTTCTGATACTGTTCTTGAGCTCCCTTCGGCCTGCGCATGCTCAGGATCATCAAACGCCATCGTCTAACGGCTTCCAAGCTAGCGAACGAGGGAAATGTGAAACCCTAACAGAGCGAGCGGCGAAAACGTAGAAGAAAAACCACTGGAGAGTATTTTCGAATCGTCTTCCTCGACATTCTAAAATGCGCGGTACTCGAATAGATGCGGGCTGGTACATCGGGTCGGGTCGGCTTCAGCGAATTTTTTTCTTTTTTTTATATTACGTGGACAAGCGGGTCCCATATTTTCCACGTGGCAAAATTTTATTCGTCAGCGTACCATACCGAAAAAGCGCTCGTAATTTAGAGTTTCAGTATTTACTAGCAATAGTTAGTTCACTGCTATATTAAACCAACAATGTAGTTTTAGTCATTTGATTAAAAAATGAGTAATAGAGAAGACAATACTCATAGAAAAAGCGAACAACCAAAAATAAGATAAATATGAACTCTTTAATTTATAATATTTTTTGTAGTGGTCCTTTCATTTATTTTTGATTGATAAAATGTTAATTATAGAAAATGAAAATAGAAAAATGTGATTATCATCGTCCCAACATCTATTTCTGTCTTGGTTAATTTCAAGCTCCAAACCGGGTAGTGACACTATCAAAAACCAATCTCTCCTAGCCGGTTAGCATGGTTCTTATTTATAAAAAGATCTAGCAAAATAGTATGGAATTTATCAGAAAATACCTCAAAATTAAACATTAAATCATTGTTAATATGCATATAACCCTGGGCATTAAATCATTGGTAATATGCATATAACAGTGGACCACATGGGCTACCCATAGTTCAAGAAACAGCTAATCCACTGCTGCATTTAGAGGTAGAAATTATTCTCCCTTAATTATCTATTATTGTGTGTTTTTTTCTTTCCTTCCTATCATGATGATTTGAATTTCTCTCCAATTGTATGAGGGCTAGTCTGAGCTGTATATAATTATTATTTGCATGTATTAGAAATATGATAAAATTTGAGAGTTTCTCCTCTAAGAAAGTTTCCCCTAAATTCCACAATGACATTTTATTACTCTACAAAATAACAAAAATAGCATACTGAAACCTATGAAACTTAGGTATCACAATCTGCAAGCATTGCTAGCATGGAAATATCAATTTTCAATTGACAAATTCCATGTTATTACTAAAAATATCCTCCACTTTTATAAGTTTAATAGTCATAACTTTGCAAGAAAAAAAAAATGAAAATTTCTTACAAGTTTTGCAACAGAATATTTCAAATATCACAGAAGATTTCTATGACATCTATCATCTAGGATTTTCAAAAGGAGTAATTTAAAAAGAAAATGACAAAAAAACTGCAGAAAACATGCCAGAGAAAAAAGTGACGGCAAGTATTTTGTCGAGGTGGATATAAAATACATCACCGTATATCATTCTCCATGCTATAAGGTTGAGAAGTTCCACTTGTACTGAATGGCAAGGTAGTTCCATCCGAACAAATTAGCACAAATTGTGTAGATTGCCCATTTGGTACTTTAATCTGTTAAATACACAACATAAAATGAGCATAATACCAACTTGACAAGCTCTGTCAATAAAAAATAAAAGGAAGATTTACATTCATACCAATTAATTTCTATGTATTTACATGTTTAAGGCCTAAACATGAATTTTTACATATATGCTATCTTACCTATGTATGAAAGTGTATTTCACTTTTTAAAAATTCAATAAGTCGCATATTTTATGTGGTAAGAAAGATTTGTGTGGTATAAATGTAAAAAGTAAAGTTTAGATTTAGGTATGTAAACACATAGGAATTGGATGGTATGTATACAAGCGCCCCAAAATAAAATCACAAGCTTAGGGAGGCATACATATAACTCTGGTGAATACTTTTCTTCGATCACCACATGGTCTGTCCGGCTAACTTTAATCTGATAACCAGATCGTTTCAAAAACATAGAAGTTTGTTCCCAAGCCTCTGAAGAATCTATCTGCTGCAAGTCCATGTACAGATGTGATTTAAGAATTTCACAAACACAAATATTCATGAAAAAAGATTTGAGTGCCATAATCTTTTCCATCGTTCCAGGTAACTAGATCTTCTGAGTAAAATGAAAAACCAAAATAAATAAATAACAATTCACCTGAACTTCTTTATTGGATCTACGTAAGTATGAACATATGGAACGATCTAACACTTGCAAATGTAAATGAGACTTTGATTGGATAAAGAACAGTGTAGTGTTCTATATAAACACCACCACACCATTGTCTCAACGGTGATGTGCCCTTCAAAGGCGCATCACAAGAGGTTTAAATGGCATGCCTTATATGCACAAATGGCACGTGGTGCACATCATTTTAGTTTAAATAATTTTAACTTATGAAGAAATAATAAAATCGTTTTTATCTTTTTTTTTTCTGTTTTTTTTTTTTGTTTTTTATTAGATAAGTTAGGATCCACAAGCCTCTTTTCCCATTCGACTTGGCTTCCTCTTTTGAAAATTGACTCTAGGGCATTGCATTATTTTATGCATCACAAAGCATCATTAAGTTCAAGCCAATAGGACATAACTTCAATTGTTTCTCATTTCCTATCACAAGCTATTTCTAATGACAAACAAGAGAAGACTCTTGGCATTTCTAGAAAAGCACATGTCCGAATAGATTTAAATGTACGGGGACGAAACCTTCAAGGTAGAAGAACAAAATGATTGAAGAAAACCTTCATTGACTATTTCAAAAAAAGGAGAATTGTCCAAGAATAAATTGATAAATGCACATGTCTTGAAGAGTGTTCTGTGGTATATATGCTTTAATTAATATAACATCTACTAAAGATCCTTTGATCAACTATAGCTACACTGTCGAGACACTGATGAAGCTAATAAATTGTTAGCTTCACGGAAAACAATGACACACCCAGGATAATAATGAATGTAAAAGAAAAGGTTTCTATTGACCCTACATGGTGAAAAATTCGTTAACCATGCCAAAATGTGTTGCTAGTGTCAAATCCATGGCGACACCATTTATTAACATCTAAATTCATTACACCCAATAATAGCATCCTGACCATTTGAATGACAAGGTAATGATGAAATTGATAATAATTCATCACATCCAAAAGACACCTCTTCAATTCGATGCAACTAACCACCTTATCAAGTGGGCAAAGCTACTCTATTCAAAGAAGTCACTGCTAAAAAAGTGATCAATTTATTCACCCATAATATTATCTACTTATTCAGTGTCATGCCACATTATATCAAAGAATGACCCAACAATCAAAGCAAAAATATATCTATTTGTTTATTGACCAAATTAATTGAAAACATTCATCAATATCAAACCAAGAATAGATGATTTGAAAGAACCTTTAAACAAAATATTCGCCAAGTCACTCGAGAAGTTTTTCACCAAAAAGAAGAATGAATAACACTAAAATGATAGAGCATTATTGACACGTCAAACCATTTAAAATCCCTTTTTAAGAGTTGGTTTTTAGAGTTAAAATAGTTGACACTTCAGGTTGAGTTGAAATTACTTCGAGTAATTCTCCAATACAATCTCATCCAAAGATCAAAATGTTCATCTACAAAGAGAAGATTGACACACTTCACAAAATTAGACTCCAAGCTCAACAAATCTGTCAAGTCCAAGTTTCATAGTTCTAATGACAAAAATTGATGGGAGAGAGCCCCATTTCGTCAATCTGATGAAAAAATCTATCATCCCAAACCTATCCGACTTGACAAGTTTAGGTGACCCGAAACATTACCTTAATAGCTCCATAGACTAAGGGTGCATTTGGGAGGGGCTTTTTAGCTACTTACCGTTTGCAAAAGCAGAATCTGTGCATTTGAGAGCCCACTTGTTACATGCTTTTCATAAATCCTATTCCCAAAACCTTAGTTTCAAAAAAGGTTTCACGAAACGATCTGCGGTGTGGTTGGGATAAGATGTCTCCGCCCTTCATCTATTTTGCATACCAGTGGCTTTGGCTTCTCCCTTGTCTTCGCCATGGGCTTCCGTAGTTTGGGCATACCAATGAGTGTTTTTGGCTTTGACTTCTCCCTCGTCATCCCGTCTTTGTTGTGAATCATATGTATGTATCTCGAACACCCTTCCTTGGTTTAAGGTCACACGAATATGTTTTTTTGGTGTATGGTTTTCATTTTTTCTTCCCTGTTGCCGGATTTCTAGATTACTATTTTCTCTGTATTTGAAGTTTGATTGTTGGTTTAGGGTGTGCATGCCACGCTATTTGGGTTTGCACTCTGTGCGATAATTACATATTTGTGGATGGTTATTTCGTTTTCAAATTTTCTTTGGGTTTTGCATCCCATGTAACTGTTGTTGGTGTTGCTCTGGTTGGTGTTCCATTGGTTGTGGTTGGTGTTGCTCTGGTTGAGTTCTTGTTGACTATGGTTGGGCTTGTTGTTGTTGTATTTGTGTTGAATCTGGTTGGGGTTTGCTCTGATTGTGGTTCAATAGACCGTGGTCGGGGTTGCTTTGGTTGCAATTTGGTTGGCTCTGGTTGAGCTAGCTCTGGATGGGTTTGATTGGTTGTGGTTGGGTTTGCTTTGATTTATGGTTTTTGTTGATTGTTGTTGGAGTTGCTCCGATTGGGGTTTTATTGGTTGCGTTTGGGATTGCTCTGGTTGTGGTTTGGTTGGATGTGATTGGATTTGCTCTGGTTGAGGTTTTGTTGGCTATGGTTGGGTTTAATCTGGCTTAGGGATTGGTTGAATTTAGTTGGGTTTGTTGTGGTTTAGGGATTTTGTTTGTTGTTGGGTTTGTTGGTTGTGGTTGTGGTTTGGCTGGCTGTGATTGGAGTTACTCTAGTTGGGGTTTTGTTGGCTATGGTTAGGTTTGCTTTGGTTTAGAGATTGGTTGATTGTGATTGGGTTTACTCTGGTTTAGCGATTAGATGGCTTTGGTTGGGTTTGCTCTCGTTTAGGGATTTTGTTAGTTGTGGCTGGGATGCTTTGGTTGGGTTTGCTCTTGTGACTGAATTGGAACAAGTTTAGAGATTTTGTTGGCTAAGATTGGGGTTGCTCTGGTTGGTGGTTTGTTAGTTGTAGTTGGGGTTGCTTTTCTTGGGATTTGGTTGGCAATGGTTGGAGTTGCTCTAGTTGCGTTTTTGCTTGCTATGATTGGGTTTGTTTTGGTTGGTTGTGGTTGGGTTTGCTCTAGTTGGGGTTTGGTTGGTTGTGTTTGGATTTTATCTAGTTTAGGGTTTTTGTTGGCTATCCTTTATTGGTTGTGATGTTTTGCATACATAAAAGTCAATTCTTATGCATTCATATATGTAATGTGTATTTCAAAGACATTTTATTTCGTAACTTTATACAAAAAAAAATTATAGAAATAAGAACAAAGAGCTCAACCGATCAACAATTGTGATTCATATAATCGTCCCCACTTATTTGCAATCACAAAAAACCACAAATACTATATAGACTTAAAGCCTACATGACATAGTTGACTACTAATACAATCTGGTCTTAAATCACACATATCATAATTAACCATAGATGCTAGCTAGTCTTAAATCACAAATGACATAGTTAACCACAGATTTTACCTGATCTTAAAACTTGCATGACACAATTAACCACAGATACTACCTGGTTTTAAAGCCTGCATGACACAGTTAACCACAGATACTATAATTTCTTAAGGCACACATAGCACAATTAATCATAAATATTGCTTGATTTTAAAGCTTGCAATACACAATTAACCACAGATACTCCTAATTCCTATATTCTACAGTTAACCACAGATACTGCATTGTCTTAAAGTTTGCATGACAGTTAATCACGGATACTACTTGGTCTTAAAAACCTATATGCCATAGTTAACCATGGATGCAACCTGGTGCTAAGGCCTGCATGACACAGTTAATCGCATATGTTACCAAATTTTATTTGAGTATCGAATGCACTTGGTGATCCTAAAGGAAGCAAACTTTGATAAATTGATCTCATTAAGCCCTAATTTGATTTGTTGTCATTTTTAAATTTTGTTTCAATTTTTAAAATTATTTTTTAAGTTATAAGCTAAATTATATAATTTTCTCTAAATTTTTTATCATCATAATACATCAGATGGGGCAAACAAAATGGTATATCAGCCATTTAGAAAATGTAGGTAAAGATTATATTCTATGATTTATGCTTAAGAGATTGAAATTGATAATAGACCGACCAAACAATTCAATTAAAAATGTTGGTAAAGCATAACAAAAAACTTTATGAAAAAACATAAAGATTGTATGATAAAACTTAGTTGAAGAACAAATGAAATGAACTCAAACAAAAGTGAAAATCTATGGAAGAAGTTAAAAAGATAGGCAATTGAATTAAGTTGTGACCTTGGTAAGAAAACAGTAGATGCATTGGAATGGTGGAGAGAAAAAATTTCGATAAGTAAGAAATGTTATATGATTTTTTATATTCTCCGATTAATTGAACTCTAATTTTATCAATTGAAGGTCCTGTCCAATGTAAAAAAAAAATTATGATTTCTGACAAAGACCTTGAGTTAGAGGAGAAACTTAATTTTATGTTTCACGGTGTCATGACCCACTCCGAGACTTAAAATTAACCAAGACGGGAACGAACAATCAGAAGTTGAAAATAAATTTTCTAATTTTCAATTTAAATTACTAACAACTAAATATTCAAATATTCATGAAAGAGCCACTAAAGAAAGCAAATTTAATTAAGAATAAAAAATTTATACCTTTCTGATTGTTGTTCTCACCTCATGTACACATTGTCTCCTCTTCTATTTATTTTAATCAAAAGTTTAAACCTGAAAAAACATTAAAAAACATAATGACTTATCTAAAATAACCAAGGAGCAATTACACTTTTAAACTACAACAACCCAAGGGAAAGAATTCAATATGTATGTTGGTCTTTCATTACTTATAGAAAAATCCTGAATTATGCTAATCTTTCATATCTTATATATGCTA